CGAGCGGAGAGTGGGGCGGACATCAATGTTGGTGGGCGAGCCATCATCACCGACAGACGAGAACGAGTAGTCAGACTGCGTGTCAATGGGGGATGGTGGGCTCGTGTCGCCGGAAATGAAGGACGAGGCGGAAGATTCGGTGTCCATCACACCTGGGCTGTGAGCCCAGGCGGGTAAGCGAGACACGTGGCGGCCGGGAAGGTGACTGCCACCCTTTTTCCTGTACATGTCCATTTCGCTGGCTTCCTCGGTACGGACCTGGAGGCGAACACGGGTCGTCTTGGAGCGGCTGAAATAATCATTAACGTTATAGTCCGAGTCGCTGGCATAGCGGTCCGTAGCATCGAGATTGTTAATGCGGTCCTGTTGAATGTGCTTGCGCATTTCAAGACGAGCAAGACGATGTTCCGCTTCTCTTTGCGGGCTAACGCCAAAGTCACCAGTCAAGAATCGGCTCCAGACGTACGCGGTATCTAGGCAAAAAGGTTAGCGGACGGGCGTGTGACATTTGCAAATCGAAGCATACCGAGTGATCCCCACAAATGACGGACGCCCTGAGTCCAGCGGGCACGGCTATCACCCATGAAGCGTTGCCATTTGGACTGAGTGCCGAACTGTGGTCGTGGACCAATCACATTGCACTGGCTTGCCGGAGAATAGATGGTTTCGACGTGGAGCTAAATGAATAAAGAAGATCCCATCACGTCAGTCCCTGAGAATCAATTGGGTCGAGAGCAAGAGTAATGAACACTACGCACATGGCCACGCATGTCGAGCAAGGACTTGCAAAACATGTGCATGTCTTCGCCGATAGCGTCCGCGCCAGTATCCCAGAAGCCAATCTGGACGGCGAGACCAACAGAGACAGAGTAGGCAGAGGTGGGGATCTTAACGAGCGACGATGGGTAAATGCCACCAATACCACTGTGAGAAAAAAAAAGTCAACATTCATCTAGGGTCGTCGGGTGGGAAGAGGGCTACATACACTGCGGCCCACATAATATCGGTAATACGGGTTATTCCGGGAACATCTGCCTGGTTGCGGTCAAAGATGATGGGCGGGACAAACATCATGCGTTCGCGCTTTTCAGGAGTCGAGAGCAGGTACTTTGTCGACGCGGCGAGGAAGTAGTCCGACGCAAAAGCGGTATCAGCGTCCATGCAGGTAATGATACCGTCGGGAATGACATTTGAGCGAAGGCCCGCGGCACGGTCCTCGTCGTCATCGTCATCGTCGTATTCGGCGGCGGCGAGCATGTATTCGCGCTCAACAAGCCATCGGGCGCCCCAGCCGACATTGCTTCCTTTCCCAGGAACCTCACCAGGAAGGCCAGACGGGTGGACGGACACGGAGATATCCAAAAATGAGTCTTGGAACTGGGCCCGGAGGGACTCGCCCTTGGCACGCGAGCCCGCTTCTCGCTCTTCCATGGCGAGACAAATCTTGTAAGTGGCCTTGGCGATAGGGTGCGAGGCAAGGATAGACAGGGTCTGGGTCAGAGTCGCCACGGACTCCTTGTAGGATGGAATGACAATGAGGTGGGGGAGGGTCTTGGGGGTGTGGGTAGTCTCTAGGGCTGAAGGATGGGCATTCTTGGAATGTTCTAGGTAATAGTTCCACCAATTAGTTTGATAATGTTGACGAATATAGTAAAGACATCTATTTTGGGGAGCGGGCAGAGAGGCCCGGAGGAATCAGTCATGAGCTCGTTCCGTGAGAGAGAAGGGCAAGTGGCAGCGGGAAAAGGAAGAAAAAAGGAGGAAAAAAAAAAAGTTGCAACGGACCTAATCACTCCATAAGCAGTTCTAAACTGGCTGCTTACGAGGACAATATGGAGAGTAAAGAACACGAAGGCGACTTGGTACTGGAATTGGGTGGGCCCGTACAGAGCGAGAATGAGCATGACGATGTGGGAGATCAACGGAAGTCGTTGCAGAATAGCCTGTAGGGCAGCCGCAATCCTACTCTGGGTTTTTTTGTCCCCAGCAGAGGACGACTGGCCCGACATGGCGCCGTGTCCTCGCCATCGGACGAGGAGCGGACGCGAGCCTCTACGGGACGAACGAGAGCCAAAGGCCATTTTTTCAAAGCACAGTCAGCAAGGTAAGCTTCAGTGCTGCAGATTCAATCGCTCTGGAACGAGTCCAAAGACGAGGAGGGGGAAAGAAAGCGAGGGAAGGGGGGAGGGGGAGAAGAAGTTGTAAAGACGAAACGTACCATGTTGCGCCCGAAATTTTGGTTGCCTTAAAAGAGACAAAGCAAGCTCTCGACCTCTGCCCCAAATTTGGACGTCCGCGCTCGGTGGATCTCCAGCTTGCCTGCAATATTTTCAAAAAATATTCTGGCAATTTTCCAGCATTTTTGTCGTCGTTTGGACGCGTCGTCAGCCAGTTTTTCGGAATTCGCAAGGCCTGAATATTGGCCCACACCGCTCACCGGTGCACGGCCGTTGGCTATCTCACTCCAGTCCAGTGTTCAACTCCACTCATGCGGTTCCCGGGAATATTATATTTAATGAATTTTATCGGGCTAGACGATAGCGTGAGTCGAAGCGTCGCACAAAATAAACGCGAAGGATGACGACAGCTGAACAATCAAGGTTGGCCCATTACGCCCGGCTATCGATTCTTTGCAAGCAACAACCATGAGCCACGTAAATTGTTAGACTTTTTGTGCACAGAACGACCACTTACAGTCCTGATCAGACGCTTCCACCCCTCCCGTACGCCTACAATGCCCTCGAGCCATACATTATCGAGGAGATCATGGTCCTCCACCATCAGAAACACCATCAAACCTATGTCAACGCCCTGAACCAGGCTGAACAAGCCTATGCGGCTACCAGCACCCCCAAGGAGAGGATCGCTCTCCAAGCCGCCATCAAGTTCAACGGTGGCGGTCAGTCCTCTTTGCTCTCTTTGTCATCACCATTTTCTGATACGAAATTCTTTTGATCCTGCAGGTCACATCAACCACTCGTTGTTCTGGAAAAACCTGGCGCCCTCTGCATCCAAATACGGCTCGTCTGATCCCAAGGCGGTCGGTGGCGTCCTCAAAGACGGTCCACTAGCCGAGGCGATCAACCGTGATTTCGGATCGCTAGACGAACTCAAGAAACAGTTCAACGCCGCTACAGCTGGTATTCAAGGATCTGGTTGGGGATGGCTTGTGCTGGACAAAACAGGCCGTCTCGTCATCCAGACGACTCCCAATCAAGACCCAGTGATCGGTGCGTAATCTGTTGCCTTACTTGGCACCCTCGGCCACCCCTCTCACATGTGCTTTAACAGATGGTGTTCCCATCATCGGTGTGGACATTTGGGAGCATGCGTTCTACTTGCAGTACAAGAACGTCAAGCCTGATGTGAGTGCTCCATATCGTTCATGCACGTTCGCTCACAACCGTTACTAGTACCTCAATGCTATTTGGAACGTGATCAACTTTGAAGAGGCCGAGAAGCGCTTCGTCTCCAAGTCTTCCAATCTCTAAGCCACAATGCTCACCATCACGACTCGGTAGTCTGTGAAAAATAGTTGGCATGTACATACTGAAAAAGTGAATGATAAAAGTTCAATTTGTATACACTTGTTTGTTTCGCCCAGCTGAGCGTGTGTGGCGAGCTGTACTATGTGGGTGCGGACTCTGGCATTTGGCGACATATGCCATTCACGGCACTGCTCGCCACCCTGCCTTTTTCCCATCATTCACTCTATCGCAGACGTTCCTTAAATAAGAGGGAACAGGTTCGTTATGAATTGTCCATTCTCAAGAATTACCATACAAAAGTTTCTGAAAATACCCTAGTCCGTTTCACACACTGGATGATATTGTTCATGGGCGAGGAGGAACAAAGTTCCAGAACTGATTAAAGTTGGGGTTCGACTCTGTACCGCAAGTCCATATTTGGGTCTAGAGAGTGTCAGTTGGGCGGTCAGAGAGTGTGAATAAATCCTACCCGGACTACTGGGTCACGAAGATTGCCATCAGTAAGGTCAAGACATCTAAAAGTCGTCAAAACTCTGCATTTTACTAATAACGAAAAGACGCACTTGTTGTGATTCACCCAGTTGATCGTGCCATCCCCATTAATCTGCCAAAGCTGGTTAAAGTTCCTTTGGTAGCACGTCCAAATTTGAAGCTTGTTTCCGTCCCAGTCACCACCATCTGGAACGTCCAAACATTTATCGCCGAATATCTTGATCTGGGTCCACGAGCCAGCTCCTCCGCCTTCGTTTGCGCCACCAGCTGGGGCGACCCATGTCGCGTTTTCGTAATTAAAGTTACCGCAGCTGGCCGTCACTACTGGTGCTCCATCGTAGTTTCCTTGTGCCTGAAGACACGGCGCAAAGCGGGCTAAAGGGGGTTATAAGGAACGATGATTGAGAAAAGGGAGGAGCTTACGGTTGACGAGAAAGGTCTGGATCAACGAAGGAACATTTGCACTTGGAGAATGTCACTATAATTCTTGCCGTGTTCTTGTGCGACTTACGGAGCTTGGGGGATACTAAGGGACGCATCAGTATGCACCTCGGCTCCAATAGTCAACTACTCACGGGTCAGCAACGACAACTGCTGCCAGAGATAAAAGAGGGAGAATGTTCTTGAGCTGCATGTATACTATGACCAAGAGAGGACGGGTAAATTCCATGTCCCACTCGCCGGTCTTTTATGCACCTCGCTGTCGGTCATCGGGGAGACCTCTCGAGTGTTCTTCCGCACTGCCAATATTGCGTACTTGTCACTTGATCTTGGTATTGCGTAAACCATCTCGCCCTCTTATTGAGCGTTTATTACTGTTGACATTTCGATTGGGGGGACGGTAGGCTGAATAGGACGGCTTCCCATCCATTAGGCTCGAGTTCAAATCCAGAATTCTGCGTGACGTAGATTGCGGTCTTGAGAACGGGCTCGCTAGTAGCCGAGCCCAAGCAGAAGGATTCTAGGGAACGTTATAACTTCCATTTATTGGCCTCGCTGGGTGAAACGCGATCAAACTAGTTTCGCCTTCCAGACTTGGAATAGGGTTGCAACACAAAGGTATGGAACCAAGTTTGATGTTTGCGGGGGTGATAAGTGACATCTTATTCCCTATATACCGCGAAATGTATGGGGTGCCGAGACGGACAGAGTTAGAGTTTCAAGTGCTACTACCCACGTTCCGGTTCCCCTGACTTGTTATATCGCCAATATTAAATACTCATAAGACTGCATCGTATGGATAAATTTAATGGTTCATGAATAGTCCATTCAAGCATTAGCATACAAGACAGGCAAAATGTAAACAGTCTCTGGGATATATTATTCCTAGTCCATATCAGACAATTCGAAGGAAAATGCTATCGAGGAGGAATAAAATTCCAACCCTGATACCCGTGACTCCCAGAATTTCCGCATTCCCATATCTGAGTCTGGTGATACGCGTCAACAACAATCCTGTTATGTAGAATCAAACCTTACCGGAACTACGGGATCACGAAGATCACCATCGGTGAGAGTAAGACACCTACAAGCAAATCAGCACTATATCTCACATCCACTCTCTCTCAACTTACTTGTTGTGTGCGGCCCAAGAAACCGTACCGTCCCCATTCACTTGAAACTGCTGATTCCCATTCCCCTCATAACAAGTCCAAATCTGCAACTTGTTTCCATTCCAGTCGCCGCCATTGGTAACGTCCAAACACTTGTCCCCGAATATCCTGAGTTGGGTGAATGGGCCGGGTCCTCCACCTTCGGGTGCGCCCCCGTTCGGAGCTGTCCATGTGGCATTGTCGTAGTGCCAGTTCCCGCAGTTGGCGGTCACGACGGGTGCGCCGTCCCAATTGCCTTGTGCTTCGATGCAGGGTGCGAAACGAGCTGCGGAAGGGTTAGAGGGGGGACTTGGGAGGAGAGAGGGGACTTGCTGTTGACGAAAAAGGTTTGGATTAGGGATGGGACGTTGATGCTGGAGAGGAGGTTAGTGTGGTCCTCGCTGTCTATGCATGACTTACGGAGCTTGCAGGATACTGAGAGGGGATTGTATTAGAATATGCCTGTCATATGGATATCATGATACTCACGGATCAGCAACGACAGTCACTGCAAGGGTGAGGAGAGGGAGCACGTTCTTGAGCTGCATATCTAGCAGGATTCCAACGAGCAAAGACAGAAGAGAAGGTGAGGAGGGGTGAATTCTCCATATACCATGCTCGCGCCTTTTATGGTCGCCAACTCGTCGGTCATCGGGCAGCAAACTTAGCACGCTCTAGAAAAATAGGATTGCAGAAGGTGCTTTTACACTGCCCAATGTTGACACGACCAACATTGGTACCAAAGACTTTTGATGTATTGAATTAGGTGGCAGTTATGCTTTTGCATTCCCTTCTATTCTTGTTAAACTGTCCCGGCCGGTCATAGTGTTGAATGGGCGTGGCGTTTCGTGGTATATTTAGATATGGGGGACGGTAGGTTGAATAGGACGGCTTCGTACTGATCGGTCTCTTATTTAGCATGCAGTGAGTTTTGGAAATGGAGTGACGCACACAAAAGTTCTGTGGTTTGTGGAACGCTGGTTAACAGACCAGCCGACGAGTCCAAGTCTGGACCAGCTTTCATGAGCCGAGCCGAATGCTTTTGAACTGTATGGAATTTATTCTGGCGAAGATCGTATTGGCAACCCTCGTGAATAGTTGGCTCTCATCCTCCAGGAGTCCAGAACTCGTAAAAGGGTTGCACAGGGGTCCAAGGCAAAAGTCTAGGTGAACTAGTATGTCAAGCCGTCTGTCGGTAGATTAGAGTTGTGAGCATATATCAACTGATGATAATTTTATACTTGTTTATAAAGCCTGAACGGTGGTTGTAGACGAGAACTTATACCGCGTCGCCTTTCC